CGAAAAGGTGAATATGATATGAATGGTTTGAAAGTAGGTATGTGGGTAGAAATAAATATTACATATAACAGCAAACAAGGAGAGAATAAATATGATTATTGAAATGGAGAGTGATATGCATACATTCATAAAAATACTAATTTTAATTATTATTTGTTGTGTTAAATTAAAATTTTTTTGAAACACCTTCAACCTCTTTTTAATGTTTAATAAAAATCCTAAATAATTTTTTCAAATAATTGATAATTTTCTAATAAATCTTTTCAAGAAGATTAATATTGATTAATCACTTAAATCATAAAAGTGGTTTTAAAATATAAATTGTTGCTTATTATTTAAGTTTTAATTTCCTTAACTAATTCAATGCAAATTTAGATAATTTGAAGGCTTTCATTTTTTTATTATTTGTAAATTGTTTGGTAATTTAGTTAATTATCAAAAAATATTTTAGGTTTTAATAATTGTTGATTTTTAAGATTGATCAGAAAAAGTATTAGAAGAATCAATAATTCTTAATATATTATAATCATTGAAAATTAATTATTTTGTTTGATCAATACTTGAAATTTTAAATTAGAATATAAGGAGAGAAGCGAAAGTATTTAATTATATTATCTGATCTCTATTTCAATTTACTTCAATAATCAAGCTTTATTTAACCAAAAATAAATATGATCCTTAATATATTTAAGCTGCAAAAACAAACTAAATTTTTTTTTCCTATTTAAAAAAATATATTTATAATTATATAAAAATCCCGAAAATTGGGGATTTTGGTACATATATAAAATATTTATATCCCAAATAATGAATAAATTCCTAAATTTGATATTCCTATGAATTATAAATAAAAGCCCGAAAATATAGTTAAGTAAAATAATTAAGAATGTCTTGTTATTAAGTCTTAGTGAATATTGATACATCAGCTCAGGGAATAAGTTGAAATCTTGTAGCATATTTTAAACATAGTTTATAACTATATTCAAAAAAATCATAAAACTTTATAATATTTGGATTCTTAAAACTTTCACTATGGAAACTTTATTTTTAAGGATCTACCGTATCAAATACTAAATTTATTCTTTTCATAGCATACTACTATTAAATAGCCCACCAACTAAACATCACCAAAACTAAAGAACATAAATAATAAATTTTATCGATTTAATAATCTATTTACCTGTAATAATTCCTAAATATAAACTTTCAAGTATTCAAAACCACAATGTATGAAATCAGTTTTTGAAACTACACACATTTTTTATAACTATAATCATGATTTCTCATATATTTGTTCCATTTATCACCTTTATTTGCTTATTAATATTCCCCATAATAAGGAAATAACTCATACTTATTTTTAATTTAATTTTATAATTATATAAAGATAATATCAATTCGATCCAAAAACGTTTTTAAATTCCAGGATTTTACCAATCTTCTCCACTTTAAGGATAAAGAATATAGCAGCTCCAATATACTTGTAAAGGGACGGTGAAATAAATGTGAAAAACTTAAAGATTTACAATAAGTATTAGAAATAACTATATAAATTTATTTAGAGTAACTTCTTGTGATTTAATACTCAATAATTGGGGATTTTAAAATTTATTGTTTAGTGTACAAAACTACTAATTATATCATTAAAATAAATCGAATATTGGAATTGGAATTAAGATAAAATAAATAAACATTTTGATAAACCAAAAGAATAAGAATAATGGCAGTTATTGATTTTAGCCAATCTCAAAATTAGTAAAATAAGGGTATTAAATTTAAATAATTGTATGAGAAAATAATAGAGAACAAATAACTTTCTTTCTTATTTTCAATTCTTTAAAATACAAAAATAATACAAAATAATGAAAAAGAGGATTTTCTAGTTTATTTCTTATTGTTAAATATCTGGAAATAAATGGATTGAGAACAAACGTTCACAAATCAGCATATAATTGATTTAATAGCACAACTATTCAAAAAATCTAACCATTATATTAAATGTTAATTTTCTAGGATTAATCTTAATTATATGATTGACATATTGGCAAGGTAGATCCTTTTTTTAGATCTATATTTCTCAATCTTCATTAGCAAATTACCTTGAACTTAGAATAGTCATACCATAAAGCATCTACTTTTTTGGCTACTTCCAATTTAATAATTAGATCTTTATAAAAGGCTTAATTTTCTTCAGATATTTATTATGATAGCAAAATCTTTATTATTTATTCAAATAGTTACTTTATTTAAAGCTATCTTTATTTCATCTATTAATTTATTTTCTAAGCATTTCTTTTTCTTCATGACATTTCATTTATAATTCAATAGTTTTTATTTTTTTCCTTTTGTCAATATTGAATCTTGGCATATTGACAATTAGTAACAAATTTGCTAATCTCAACTTCAAAAATAGTCTTTTGTGATTATTTTTATTTATGATTTTAATACCAAACTATTAATCATATAATTCGCATTTCAATGAACAATAGTGCAATAATCTTCAGAGATAATTCTACTATTATATATCCAATAAATGGATATTCAATAATATAAAAAGAGCTTATTAAAAGTAAATTAAAAACAGAGATAAATTTATTAATTAATGAATAAATATTATAATAAATTTTGTGATGCATAATCTATTTATCTTATCATAAATATAAAAATAATTCATTACATGGTGCTGATTAAATATATGTCTATTAAGTTATTATTATTTTTATACATTATTAATGATGTGTTGAATTCTCATGAACTTGTATAAAATTAGTTTTAATTTGAGAAGTAGACACGTAATTTTATGAAAAATGGATAATCAAATTTACATTATCAAGAATACAAAAATAAATAATGTTATTAGAAATATTTTTATTTTTGTTGGGTTGTTAATTGGATTAAAGTTGTGTGATTCACGCCTAATACTAATTGGAAAAATTAATAAAAACAGTTAAAAAGATGATAGTATAATTAATTAAGTATCACCTGTAAAATAGGAAGATGTTGAAAGATCTCATTTAAATATAGTAGAAGCTTCAATTTAAATGGTTAGAATTTTTCTATTATTGGAATAATAGAATTCTATAAATATTAAATATTTGGAATTTTAAATGGATTATGAGTATTAATTTTTTTAATATATATTAAGAAAATAAATAATTAATGTAAACATCTAACTCAAATAATTCTACCAACTAAATTTACCTATAACCTTAATAGATGACTTATTAGAATAATAATGATGCTTAGGAGGATGATAACTTATCTTTAAGTAGACATCAAATTAATCTATTTTATAAGTAAGATAATTAAATAAATGAAATAACATCTTCATAATAAAATAGCCTATATAATACAGATATTGTTAATTTTTCCAAATAAATCTAAATATTTGTATAAATGCCAAATGGAAGAACTCTAACTTGTGATGTTAATAAAAATGAGGAATGTTTACAATAAATTGTAGATTTAATTTAAAAAAGAGAAGGTATACCTCCTAATAGCTATAGATTATATTCGGGTTTTAAATATTTAAATAAGATTAGTAATAAAAGTATAAAGAAATATTAAACTTTGCATCTTAATATAAAATGTAGTAATTTAAATAATCTTATTGTAATATACAATAACTAACGATACAATATATTTGTCAATCTTGATGGTTTTGTTATTGAAATTAAAAATTAATTGTAAAAAAAATTCGATTTTCCAACAAAATCTTAAGTATTATATTTTAAGGATATTTAAATAGAAGATAATTTTAAATTATCCTATTATCAAATTTAAAAACATTCTACTGTTGAATTACAATTATAAAATCTTATTTATATCAATTAAGAATCATAAAATAGATTATTTATGAATTATTTAGATATATTTTAGACTATTAAATATTTAAAAACATAATTGAATTAATAATATCCTGATTTAGGTTATTTTCATCTATTACATAATAATGTAATTTTACAAGATAAAGATTTACTAAAATCTTATAATATTAAACATTTATCAATACTAAAATTAGTTGAAATTAACTACATAAAATTTTAAATACAAACTTAAACTATAACATTTCAAATCAAAAAAAAATATGATTAAACTATATATGATTTAAAAGAGGAAATAGAATAAAAGTATTAATATTCAATCGATACATAACAATTATTTTATGAAGGTGAAGAACTAGAAAATTAAGAAAAAATTTTTGAATGTAATATTTAGGAAAACAGTAGGTTATATTTATTCAATAACTTAAAACTAATAGTCAATTGTATTAATTTTAATATCTTCCCAATAATAATAAATCCAAACAATAAGGTTTATAAACTTAAATAGAAAATAAATAAATTAAATTCTTAAATGTTATCAGATTATTTTATTTTAAAATACAATGGAAAAATATTAAATGATGATGAATATTTATAATATTACAATATTAAGAATTTTGATTATATTTTTATGGAATTTGAGATATGAATATTCATATAAAAATCAATATAATTATAAAAAATTATTTTATTTACTTTATGAAAATTGTTTATTTATTTACATTCAATTTTTTATTCATAGTACTTATTTGTCTTCCAAAAATCATAAAAGATATGGGGTTAAAAATATGCTCTTCCAATAGTGCTTAGTAGATGAGGGCATGGGTGAGTCTTGGAGATAAACAGTATTAGTTTTGGAATCAAAAATATAATAAGCCTAACTTAAATGAATAATATATAACTTCATTTCAGTAAAGTCTTATCTATTATAAAATAAGATAATTTGATCTAAAATTGATGCCTTTGTTATATTCGAACATGGATTAATATATGAAGTAAATAGTAAAATAGAAAATAAAATCTAACAATAATCGACTGGAACATTATCAACTATTCCAGCAACAGCAGGATAAGGGATTTATAAGGAAGCAGGACAAATGATTTCAAAAAAATGGAAAAAAGGTAGAGAGAAAAGTAATTGGTTAAGATTTTTTATTATATTTGAGTTTTAAGAATATATCTTTAGAATTTAAATCAATCAAGATAAATTTCCTATCTGCAATGGATAATAATCTAATTCAGTAGACTCATCTATTTTAATCATCTAAAATTAAGATTATGAAGTACAAATTAATCTTTTGAGCTAAATTTACTCCAACTTATATATTTTTTCTAGATTGACTCTTATAGTAATTATATCATTTTGTTGAGTATTTAAAAGGAATTTAGCCTGATTTATCTGATTTTATATAATTAGTCACATATTCTATCAGACTTTATTATATACAGTCTTTAGATAAATAAAATTGATACTCTATTTTATTTCTTCATTCATTGCCATAGTTCTTGCCTGACTTTTCAAGAATTTCTTTATTTCCTATTCTTATGAAGCATTGAAAGTATTTTAATAGCAAATTTTGATTTTGATTTTGGAATAGTTTTTTCACAAAAACCACCTGAATAGTTCCATCCTATTCAGTAATTTTTTTATTCTCGCTTATTTTCAAAACAAGAGGCTAATTAGCTAAAGAAAAAGTTAGTTATTTTTAATATTGCTGCCACTTTTCCAAATAAGTAAATTTTAAGTTCCCTTTAAAATCTACCAAAAACCAATTTAAGAATGTTTGAATAATTAATATGAAATATTAGATTCGAGTAATTGCAAAACTTTTGAATTTAATAAATTTTAATAATGTAAGGAAGGTTATGACCTATCATAAATTGCAATGATTGAATTATTTAATTAAATGAAATATTTAATGACTATAACATTTAATTTTATGGATGTTATTAATGTTAATAAAATTATCAATTAGAGTGTTAAATATGTATGGATAAAAAATGCTGCAGGTGTTATGATGGCAACTAAATAAATTTTAATGTTTTTAAATTTGTTGTGATGGTTTGGGTTACTAAATAATTATATATTAAATTATATTTTTAAAATTAAGTGATGTTGAATGATTCATAACAAAATTTTACTATGATGTTAAAGAAAAATGTACAAAATATTAGAAAATACTACTACAAAGAGATGTAAGATAGAAAATTAATATATTTGGTTTAATGTGAATTCCAACAATATGATAACAGAATTCCAAAACAAAGAATGTGAAAAGATATATAGGATATGTAAGATACAAGGAGAAAAAGAAATGATACGATAGATTGAGATGAAATATCAGATCTTTGGAGGAAAGAAATTTTCTAATAAGGAAACAATAGGATATTGTAGTGATTGACATGTAGACTGTGGAGGTATAGTTTGCATAGTTAGAACATATACAAATTTGTGTATGTGAAGATAGAACTTATAGTAATTCATTAATTGGAATCAGTCATTATTATAATGAAGCTAATAGTTGTAAATGGTATTCTTATTGTAAATTTAATGATTCTCTTACTGTTTTTATAAATATACGTACATGGATTAATTATGATTCAAATGTTATTGCATTCAATACTTCTAATTTACTTTATGGTTATCAAATTGTACTGACTCAGTATCTAGGCTCTCATGTGGAACAATTTTAATTATTAAATTATAATTATAATACATGATTAGTAGGATTTATTGCAAATACTTTAGTGAATAATTGTGAATCTGATGCAAAATCTAATATTGCTACATTTGATCATTCTACATGGTAGAGTTCTTGTACATATGATAAATTAGGAACCGTTTAAATTAAAACTTTCAGCAATTGAATTATATGATTTAAAGCTTAATTGACTTCTTTTGATCATAAGAATTGTTACAACAGTACAGTAAATTCCACTACTGGTGGATATAATGATTTTACATGTTCAAATTGAGCCAACTCAAAAATTTCCTTTGGCAGATTGTTAAAGCTATTAATCATTTTGTACTACAAATAGTTCTTAAACAAATTGTGCAGATATAATTTGTAGAAATGCTTCCCTTATGTTCATTCTGATTGTTAAACATGGTTCTAAGTTGGGCCGTCAATAATAATGCTAGGAGTTGTGAAACAAACTTAGTATATTAGAGTTGTACAAATTCGTGGATTTCTTTTTCATGAGAATTGGACACTTCTCATGTTAATGTATTTGTGAGACTTGCTAAACATAGAGAGGATCATTATCTGCATAAAATTGTAAGTTTAAATGATGAGAAATGCTAAATTATTGAATTGATAATATTGCAGATTTTCTTTTTGAAAAATGAAGGTAAAAATTGCAACTAAAAATTGTCGATTCGAGGCATTTCAATTTTAATTAGATTAAATTAAACTTTATCTAATAGAATTGAAATAAAAAAATTGAATTGCAATAATTACTTAAATCTTTAATGAACAATACATTTGAAAGACAATAAATATGTAAATTTCTTGTAGCATTTTTAACTAAACTATGATACAATCATGCAAGCTTTATAAATGACTTGTAAGAAGGTTAGAATAAATTTATCCAAAGCTATCGTAAGATTAAATTATTTCACAAAAATAAATTAATATCTAGTATTACATTATAGTTTCAACACATAATGGTTGTTTTAAACTCAGTTTGTAAAAGTACTTTAAAATGTAAAACTTAGAATTTGAATTGTTGATGAAGCACCAACATTTAGAGTCTTCTTTGTTGATACCTTTAGTGAAATATAAAAATATTGATAAAATTGTATTATTGGGAAATGTAAAATAACTCAACCCCCAAATTATTGAAAATGAATCAATTAATTACGGTTATATTAGATCTTTGTTTTCAAGATTAAATAAGAATCATTTAAACTTACATATTAATATAGATAATTGCCAAATCTTACTTAAA